ACAGCCTTGGACTCCAGGTCCCCCGCAATCCTCCTGGTGTTGGCTTGCAGCCAGGAAGAAGTCAGAAGCCCCTAGAAAGCCCTGATTCCTGGCTGGGGTCGGTCTGCAGCCGCATGGCATGTGTGGCCCCTCAGCCTCAGCAGGGAAGGTGGCAGCTCCCAGGCCCCATCTGTGCTGCCCAGAGGTCCTGAACCCCAAAGAGGGTTGGCTCCTGTCTCCTGCAGTCACCACCGATGCCAGGGTCACTGGGGTCTTATAAGGAGAGGCCAGGGGAGGTGGGTCCTGGAGGGTCATTCCTCAAGTGTTGGCTTCAAGATGACTGAGCCGTGGGGCACACAGGTCCTGGGAACTGCCAAAGGGCAATGCACTAGGAGAGTCAAGGTCACCAAGGCTTTTTCTGCTCCCTGAGCTGGCAGGGGATGGGGACGTCCTCTTCTGTTTCTACAGCTGCTGACAAGGGCGAAACTGTCTGACCCACCTCTCCCACAGCGAATACCCTGGAGAGAAATACATTCTTGACTTTTCTCGGAACTCACGTCTGAGCTTGAACTAGAATAGAGGCTATTCTCTCCAGCTGCGGTCCTTCACCTCCTAGTACCCACCTCCCCCCCACCCCTCATCTCTGAAAAGCAGCTCCAGGCCCCGCCACCTCCAGGAGCAAGCCCACCCTCTCTGTTCCTGCTTTTCCTCGGTGACCTTCTGGATTATACTGGTGTGGCCCAGATGGCTCACATCTGGCTTTATAATGACATCTTGTCATTTATTTCACAGACGGCCGAGTCTGGCCGATCTCAAGAGCTCAGCTCAGGGTGTCTGTTAAATATATGTGTCTTCTCAAAGTCTGGTGCCCAGAAATCCTCACTGGTAACAATTCCATTCATTTCATGGTTCTCGAGAGTTCCAAATAATTTTTGCTTCCTTGAGCTGCTTCGTTCCTTCCAGTGACTCAGCAAAGCTGGTGTTGTGATACGTAACTTCCAGAGGAGGAATCTGTACCGATATGTAGGTGAGGCAGAACTCGAACCCAGGTCTGACAGACAGGAGGGGCACCCCGCTATCAAAGAAAGGATGCATAAGGAAATGAATGGTAATGTAAGGATTAATAACATAATACCTGCCTGTAGAAGTGTCAGTGCCTTTATGTCCACTGTATCACTTTGACCTTGTGAGGGAACAGGAAAGGACCCATTGCACAGATAATGAAACTGAGGCTTACGTGGCTTTCCTAGGGTTACACTGGCGCCCAGCTCACCCTATGGCTAGGAAGGACTACATTTTGCAAAGAAAGTGACAGAGATGCTGGGGTGTGCCTGAGCTCGCACAGCTAGAGAGGAGAGGGGGAGACCAGGGAATGTCCTGAGCCTCCTTCTCCTCCACCGGCCTGCCTCCACGCCTGGCTCTGAGGCAGGAGCCCACTCCTCTGGACGGTGCAGGAGGCCCTCCCCATACCAGCCCCTACCGGCCCAAGTCTTCCATGACATCCGATCCAGCATCACCTGCCCTGCCATCGCTGTCTTGGCAGGCGCCCCGGTATCATGCAGGCAGGCACAGGGCTGCGGCCGGCTCCATAAAATCAGCAGTCGTTGGCTTGAGCTAGCTGATTCTGCCCCCCTGGAGTTTAGCCGTGACAGCAATGAATCACACTAATGGTGAGAGGTGGCATTCTTCCTCTTTGTGGCCTGGAGACAGGTATTTCCAAAGCTCCTCCCCCAGCTCAGGCAAACACACCTGATCTCTCTCTCTCTGGACCCAGATGCGGCAGAGCAGCCAAGGACAAGGTGGGGTGAACCAGATAGAGCTGGACAGCCCTCCCAGCCTGGCTTTGCCAGGCCACCCCTGCCAGCCCATGATCAGTGGGAGGCCAGAGACCTCCTCCCCAGAGGAAGGAGAGAAAGAGCCCGGTGACCTTGGCGTGTGCTTCAGCCTGGCATCCCCCTCACCCACCCTACCCTCCCTGCTGCTTGCGCTCCGCCTCTGACTCTCTTCCAAGAACAATTTGGCAAGTTCCAATCCACGACCTGCAAAAAACCCAGAGTGGTGGTGAGGGCCACAGCCCGGGGGGGCCCAGAAGGCAGGTTGACCTATTTTTATGTGGTGTTAAGCAAACATAAACACCTCCATGCAAATAGACTTGAAAATCTTTGGAGTGGAATTCATGGGGAGGGGGCAGTATTTGGGAGGTAAAATGCACAGGACACCTGGGATCACTGTCTGAGGCCAGGGGACTCAGCATTCCCTTCTGGGAAGCGGCGCGACATGCCAGCGTCCCTGTATAACCAAGTTACAGTTCCCATATCCAACCAAATTACAGATCGCGGTCACGCTGAGTGGAGCGCAGACATGGTTCTGCCCAGCCTGGAGTGCTGGTCCAGGAGGGAAGACACACATTAAATAGCAATCCATGCCTGGATTCTGGATTCTTCTTCCCTGGCTCTACAGCCCTAGACAAGAAAGGGAGAAGGGGCTTGCCCATTATGTGTGGGGGTGGGATGGGGTGGGGCGGGAGGGGTTGTTCCTCAATTTCAGTCTGGACCTGGGTAGATTAGGCCATCCTGGGTAGCTTCTCTTAGTCCATCTTGGCCAGAGGATCCCATCCCCTTGAATACTTCCAGTGACGGGGAGTTCACTCCAGTTTGGGATTATCACGGCTGTGGGAACCAAGGACTCCCCCACACGAGGCCAAATCCTGCCTCCTCCCATGTGCACTTGGAGGAAAAGTTTGCACTGCAAACTTTCCTCTGCTGTGCAGAGGGAGACAGGTTTGGAGCTGGATGGGCCTGGGCTGGACCTTGGCTTTCCCCCAGGAGTGCAAACTCACGCCAGTCCCACTGAGGGGCGGTTTCCTCATCTGTAAAACTGAGATACCATCAGGCAGTGCTGTGAGTTCCGAATGAGTTGATCTGTGTGACGTGTCAGCCCAGGGTTGGGTACATATTAGCTGCTTTATTCTGTTATTAATAATAATATTATTGCCATTATTTTGATCATCAGTTTCTTTGACTCTTCATTATGTGTCTTATTTCCAGGCCATAAGACACAGAGCGTAGTCTCGCTAGTGTATGCCCTAAAGGGCCAGCCAGGTTCCAGGTGTGGTCACACCAAGCCAGGTGATCCTCTCCCTTTGTCTGGACCTCAGCCCTCCCCTACAGAGGGAAACCAGGACGTGTGGCGTGCCAGAGGGAACTCAGGAGACAGACAGCCTGGGCCCGGTTCCTAGCCCCTCTACCAGGCGGCTGTGTGACCTACACCAGCCACAAATTTATCAGAAGTGTGACCATCCTACCTACCTCCGAAACAAGGCTGGGTTAGCAGGAGGCAAAAGAGTGGGTGCTGAGAGGCAAAGGAGGGAAAACTCTTTTCTATATATGCTAGAGCTGGTAACATCACTCTGCTATGAACAGGATTACCATGAGAAAACTCAGAATCTCCCCCATTAGATTTCCTCACACTTACTGTAGAGTTTAAGGCTTTAATAACGAATGTGGGGAGGTACCCCCAATCTTTTGCGTTCCTGGGGCCTCTGAGGGTCTTCCTCTGGCCAAGCTCTGAAACTGCTACAAGCCTTGTAAATTCCCTGACCCCCGAGGGTCCCACCAACAGTGGTCAGTAGCTTACTCACAAAGTTGAGGTGCGACCAGAGGTTTTTTAGCCTCCATAATCACAGAGTCGACACTATTGAGCTAGATCTCAGTGAAAGCCTCCGTTTTTTCAAAGACCTGGGGGAGAGAGGGCAGGGCAGTTGCCGAAGTAGGACGGGCACCCTCCATGCCCCAGGGGTGGCCGGGAGGTGGCTGGAGCCCCGAGGCCCTCGGGACCGGCACCCGCGAATTCTGCAGCTCTAAACAACTCATGGAACCTAGATAGACTCCTTGAAGGTTTGGGGGGGCAGGGCATGAAGTCACGTTAGAACAAGACTTAGTCCTTGCCCCCGGGGAACGGTGACTCACGATAAAAACGCACAAGACGCACAGAGATGGGGGCGCACACCAGCGACCTCCCAGAGGATCAGCTTGCAGCCAGGCTCATTTGGCCAAAAGTCCTTTCCCAAAGACTGAACTGGAATGTCTTTGGGAGGACACTGTCGGTGACCCCTGGCACCTACAAGCCACCTCGTGTCACAACAACACTCACAAATGGATATTATCTACCTGGCCTCCAGAGTTTGGAGCCGAGGTATGGATCCTTAAATGTGAAAATAAAGGCAGGACCCTGTGTGACCGGAGCACAGAAAGGAAGGGACTCATTCTACTTGAAGTCCAGGAAGGCTTCACAGAGGAGGGGGTATTTGGGTTTGGAGAGAGATGAAAGTGTAAGTAAGGGCTCTGATCACAACCCAAGTGACCCACCCACACCCTCTTTGCCAAGTCCCTAGGTAGCAGCCCCAGAATTGACCAAAGGGAGAGGTTAGAACCTTTGGTTCTCGGCCAGCAGGCCCTCAGTGGAGCCACCGGGACCCTCTGCTTCTGTACAGGCCATGCATAAAGTACAGGTCCTGCCATGGGGCAGAGGCTGGGCCCACTGACCCGGGAGCAGGGGGAAGCGGGAGGAGGAAGGGGTACCGGGAAGGGGAGAAGCTGCTGGCCCACACACACCCCCTGACTGCCTCTTCAGCGGCCACCTCCTCCCTCTGACCAAGGACAGAGTCTCTGGGGCCCTACAAGTGCTACAAATACTCCAGCTCCTTGACACAAAGCACTCCAGAGCCACTAGGAAACAAACGGTATTTTATTCCTTTTTGTTATTGAGAGGTTAGGTCACAACACGGAGAACAGCAGTCCTGGTCACAGCGGTGCCGTTTGGCTAGTTTCCACAAGAACACGATGGATGGGATGGGCAGGGTCTGGCCGGACCTTCGACCTCTCGCTGTTCCCTCGGCAGCAGGGCTGTGCACGCCTGCCGGGTCTCTAACCCGCAGCGGGCAGCTGCATCTGCCTCTCTAACCAGGGACGGGCGGAGCACAGGGGCGGAGCCATCGGCTGCCCGGCCAGTTGGGGGGGGGCGGGGCAGAGAAGCAAAGGACCCCTGCTCTCCCGGCTGCCCCTCCCCACAGTGCTGGCCCCCACAGAATGGGTCCCCTCAGCCCTCGCCTCCCAGAGCCCTCATTCAGGGACAGGCGTCTGAGTCCAGAAGGGCTGGGCTATAGCTGGGAGTCTCAGAAGCAGGGAAGACGGGAGGTTGGGAGGGGGCGAAGCAGGGTTCCAGAGCCCATGGGGTTATTGCTGAGAAGATATGCAAAGGGCACATTCCCTAAGGGGCAGAGTAGAAGCCCCGAGCCCGGGATTCTGGGCTGCTCTGCCATGGTGCGGGGCAGATGAGGACTCCCTGCTGGAAGCCCCAAGAGGAGATGACCATGGACGGGGCAGAGCCTGCCTGGAGGCAAAGCTGGGCTCACCAGCTCCTTGCTGTGAACCCCTCATTGCCAAGAGACCCCAGAGCAGACTCGGGTCGGGGCTAGAATACAGAAGCCAGGCTCTTAAGGAAGTGAAGAGAGGCCATGGAGAATGATCACGAAGGTCATATAAACCTTCCCAAGTCCCAAGACAACGGGAGGCCCCCACCCATGCCCCCTACCCCTACCTACACCCACCCCTCACTCCAGAGAAGGGACTGGTCTCTCAAGGGAAAAAGCAGACTCCCGGGAGTGGGAGATGATGGGGGGACCCAGGGGAGAAGGGAGGGGCCGATGGCGCCATGGCTCAGCACCCGCCCAGGAAAGTGAGTCTGGGGTCACTAAAATACAACATCATCCACAAACAAGCAGCAACAGAGACCACAGTCATCAAACACACACACACACAGACACGTCACAGGAGGTGGACGAGACCGCAGGCTGCGGGCAGGGGAGGCGGGTGTTAGTTGCATCATTAAGTTGTGGACCGTGTTCTGGGGACGGGGAGGGGGCAGGGGACACACACATTCTTGGCTTCTCCTGGGGAAAGATCTGCTGCTGAGGTGGCCGGTGTTCTTAAGCATCAACATTTGCATCTAAAGTTTCAAGCAGCTCCCTTCAGGTTCTGGAGGCTAAAGGGGGAGAGAATTTAAAACACAACTTGGGTTCCTTCCAGGACTCTTTACCGGCTGCCCCCCTGCCTTTAGCGCAGCCCCCGTTTGCCCCCTGAAACCCGCAGGATGAGACCCGCTCTGAGCTCCGCATTCTTGGAGACACAAGGACGAGCCTGAGACGCAGGGAAAGGAGGTGTGGGCAGAGGAGGGGGCCTCGGGGAGTGCTTCTCCCAGCGGGGCTGGGACCTGGGAGACGTGGAAAGAGAATTGTTCACCCCAGGGTCTCTATGTCAGGACACCCCCAGCAGTGGCTCAGTCCCGAGATCTAAGAGAACAAGGTTTCTGAGGAAGTCCTAGTTTTAAAAAAAAAGGGGTTAAAAAAAAATAAAAATTATAAATAAATAAATAAAAAGGACAACTGCTAGCTTATGCCTCCCTCCCTTGAGGCACCCCCCCCACCATCCCCAAGATGGAACCTGCCAGCCACCACGAAGGGAGAGAACACCAAGCCACCAGCCTGGACGCCTGCCTCCTAGATTGGCATCTACGGCCACCTGGCGCGTAGGCAATCGCTGACCTTTCCGAGCCCCATCTAGAGGATGGACACAATGAGCCCTGTTCTGCCCGCCCATGGGGTTGTCATGATGACATAAAAGCGCTTAGGAAAACATTCACATGCTATGCAAGTACACCGTGTAATTGCACTCACGGTAAAAGCTGGTGCACCAGGCGTTTCAGTACCAGAAATCTCTTCACTAACAATTTAGGATAAAGTCATAGACCTGCCTATTATGCCTTAGGTGAGGCAGATGTGAGCAGACAGGAGACTGACCCCCGCACCTCCCGGGCCCCCGTATATTCCAGGGAGGTCCTAAAGTGACACGGGCGCAGACACAGAGGGGTGTGGTGGAATGGCCCGAAGCTAAAGGGCCTGACTTCAAGTTCCACCTGTCACTTGCTATCTAGCTGTTCTTGGTGACCTCAGTTTCTTTATCTACAAAATGGAGCTCAACCCCACCTGTCCCGCATCTTCCGTCAGGCTCGAGCGAGTTTGTGTGTGGCAGCATTTTGGAAAATTAAGGCGTTTGACAGTTATGACTCTCCCGTGTCCCTACAATGAACAATGGAAGCAAATGCTAAACACAATGCCCGTATAGGCTGTGCACGGAGGATGCCGGTACGGGGTGGGGGGTAGGGTAATACACTGTTCTCCCTAGTTTTGTGTAGACTTTGAAAGTTTCATTATAAGATGTTAAATTTTTTTTAAAGCGGCCCTAAGATACTTTATGAATCATCACTAAAAGCCATTCTCTTTATGCTACTTGGAGAGTGGGAGTATTTCACCAACTGTAATTCACCCCCAAGTCCTGCCCACGTGGCAGCTAAAATGACACCCCATGAACCTGACCACTGGGTTGTGCAGAGGCCCTATTTCCCAACCGTCTACTGCGCATGTGTGGTGCATCTCCGCTGCATCGGTCTGTCTGTCTCACTGCCCTCAGAGTGTGGCTCATAACAGAAGCTGGGCCCGCTGCACTTCTCTGAGGAAGGAACAGCAAGGGGGCCAGTGGAAGACACAGGGAGACAGAACCTCACCTTCCTACCTGAGGGCTACACTTCAGTTCTCTGCTTTCTGGGGCTCCGTTGCTAGAAAAAAAAAAAATAGAACAGATTGTAGTGAACGGACCCCTCGCCCCGGCGGGCGGCCCCTGTGGTAGCCGTGCCCATGCCTGACGCTGGGGGGTCCGAACCGCACAGCAAAGATGCAACTTGGCAGGATGTGGGGTCAGACAGACCCAGGGGCAAATCCCTGCCCCGCTACTTGCTGGTTATAGGAATTTAGCACATTCCTTAACTTTTCTGGGTCCCTCGGTTATAAAATGCGGATAGTGATGTCTACACAACCAGGCTGTGTGCACATGAAGTGGGGTCTATAAAGTGCTTGGGATGGTGCCCCACACAAAGCAGATGCCCTATACACCGTGGCTGTCATGAGTCGTGGCCAGTTTGGTGGAGGTAAGGGAGCACAGACATGGGAGCTCATCTGGTGAGCTCTAGGGAGGCCGTGGTGTCGGACAACCATCCCTCCCTGAGCTATACGAGGACCCTCCCCAATTACTTCTATTCCACCCGGGCTGGTGGTCATGACAGTTACCATTTGCAGTGATGAGGTTCTCCACCTGGGCCTCCTCATCCCCTGGAGCCCTGCAAGAGTCACAGCCCTTCCATTAGCGGTCTGCACGGCGAACCCACTCTCCTCGCCACGCACGGCTGTCTGGGTCCAGCCCCTCCAAGTCACTGGAGGGCTGGAGCACTCTCCACCAAGAGGCAGCAGGAGAGGTTGGGACTAAAGGGTGCAGTGTCAGGGGAACTCACAGGCACCCTTCAGTGTTGGCCCTCGAGACAGCTAAGTGCTGGGAAGGAGTGGCTTAGGGCACCTGGGAGCTTGGGGTGTGTCCTGCCAGACTTTGGACTTCTGAGGTCCAGTGCTACCCCTGGTTTTTGTAGTGGACTAATGGGGTATGCCCTTTATGGGTGGGGGGTGAATGACCGGGAGCCCAAGCTTCTACTCAGCCAAAGAGCCCCATGAACAGGTGACAAGCAGGGACAGTGTCCCAGGTCCTGTAGAGAGGAGGACCTCCGGAGAAGCTCTGAGGCCCTCTGCTTCCCTTCTCCCAAGCCCAACTGTCTCAAGGGCCTCCAGACAAGGGTCCAGCACCTTCTGGCCTACCTCCCCTTCCCAGTGTACATCAGAAGAGAGGAGGGGCTAACCCTCGACATTTTGACCTCTCCTTTGTCCCAGAATATGCCTGGCAATCTTCAAAACATCTACTCCCAACATGGCCTCTTTTTGGGATTAGAATCCAAAAAAACACTCATTTGGGCTCACACACCAGGGGGCCCTCCCTGTCCCCTCCTAGTGTCACCTCAGATGTCCACAGACACAGCATCCTTACCGGGGCTTCTGATTGAAACTGCATTTGCATCTGCGACCTGAAAGGCAAAGAAACCACCCAACGTCATGCTCCCGGCTGGAGCTCAAGGTCCTGCTCCCGGCTTGACCACAGCAGGGCCACCTTGTGGGGCTACATAAAAAACACAGCTACATGCAGCAATCCTCTGTCGGAGTAGGGCTCTTCCGAGGCCAAGGTTCAACATTCAACGGCTTCGATGACTACCCTACCACAGTCTGCTTGATCAGACAAATGCACGGGGCTCCATGCAGCCCAGGCTCATGTGGGAAAGACAAACACAGGGCAGCTCCCTGGGAGCACTCTGAGGACATCCCCTATCTCCTGTGACACGCCCCCCCCCCCCGCCACGTATGCCTCCTGGACACAGCACCGGGAGAGCTACCCTGCCTCTTAGTACCCGCTGGTTTTCATCAAGCATTTATTTTGTTCATTCTTGACTGTTTTACTGAGCATTTACTATGTGCCCCGCACTGTATTAGGTCCTAGAGATAACAGGGAGAATGGACAGTCTCCTCCCCTCTCCCAGGGAGAGCACAGCCGGGCTCTGACACCATTCTCCACCTGCTTAGCAGCTTACAGAGTGGACAGGGAACGGTATCCAGAACTTACTCAGGATCAGGAGAATCCCCACTGAGAAGAGAACCACGGCAAACACCAATCCCCCAATCCTCAGCGTCTGGTAGTCTGCCAAAGGAGCAAGGGGGAGAGGTGGAAAGGAAAGAAGGTGGGGAGGGGCGTGCCTTGCCCTCCCCCCTCCCCAGGGGGCCAGGGCTGCACCCCCCGCTCCCCAACCAGGGTTCCCATCACTGCTCACCATAATGAAAAGGGTCCTTTTCGTTCTCTTGCTCAGCTGCTGAAAAAAATAAACAAGTGTGGGCAAGAGAAAGACGGTGACACCTGTGGTTCCAGAATCTCCCCCAAGCCTCACAAACCTCACTTCCCACAAAGGGACTCCTGGGGAGGAGGGCCCATTAAGCAGAGATGCCTGGGGAAGTACGGAGGGCTAGGGCCCGCCTGAGAGCCGAAGGGGGTACTGTCAGAGCCCCAGTGAGATTCTGCCTCCACAGCACATCCACACCCTCTGTATTCTCACATCATCCCCCACGGCAGGGTCTGTCACCCTCTTGTTACACACCGGGAAGCTGAGAAGGAAGGAAGGACATGTGACTTGCACCCCAAGGTTCCGGCCAAAAGTCTACAGGGACGTGGAGGGCTTGAGGGCTGAAAGCAGAGCCTGTTGGGCCCTGTGGGAAGAGGTGGGCAGGCTGGCGTAGGGTCTGGGGACACCTGCTGCCTTCTAGCACTTTCTCTGCTGACTGAAGTGGGGGCAGGGGAGTTGCTGATCAGCCATGTCGAATCTGAGAGCCCCCCCAGCCCTACGGTCCCAAAGGGCCAGGACCTGGAGGGGTACTTACCACTGGCCAGGACAGTGGGAGGCAGCAGGCTGCACAGGAAGATCAGCACCACCTCCATGGTGTCTGAGAACAGAGGAGGAAAAGTCATTCTCTGCACGGGAGACTCCCCACCCCAACCCTCAGCCTGAGCAGGGGGGCTGAGTCGGGCTCCCAGCTCTACACTGAGTACTCTCCACGCGGTGAGAGTTCAAGTGAGACAGCAGAAGCTGCTACCATTTACTGACTCTTACAGAGGGCTCCACATGCAATCATTCAGTGACTACAAGGGAATCCATGCCATCAGCACGCACGATGACTGACCCATTCTGCAAGTGAAGAGGATAAATGACACCCATGATGGTGAGCAACGGAGGCCAGGTCCTCACCCAGCTCAGGAAGCCCTCCACCACACTGCCTCTCCCATGCGGGAGCCAGAAGACCCCAAGGGCTTTGGTAATGACCCCAGCTGCACCTTGTCTCCAGGCCATCTTGCCATGGCCACCCTCAGTTCACTTAAGATGTCTGGCACTTCCTGGCCCGGATCCCCACAGCCAACACCCACCGGCAGAAGTCGTTCTTCCATGAGATTAAATGGGGCAGGTAAGCGAATGCTTCCCTAGCCCAGCCAGCCACGGGGGGCGGGAGTCCTGCTGCTTACTGGTCTCCATACGGGAAACCCTGAAATGCTGACAGCTCTCCTTCAGTGACCCCTGACACCCTCACCTCTAAAGTGCCCAAGCCAACTCCTCCCACAGGATTAGTTCATAATTCTCCAGAAAGGCGGTTTGGTCAAACCAAGGCAGCGTGGAGGCTGGTTCTCGGAGCCTCAGCGCCCTGACCTCTCACCTTCCCTGGACTTCTGCTCATGAGCTCATCAAGCCTGTCTCTGCAGCCAGGGACCCCAGGATGGGCCATCTGGATGGAGGCAGAAGGTGGCCAGATGGTCCCTTCCAGGGATAGATTTCAGTGGGGTTACACACACCTCATGCCTGGGCTTAAGGAAGTGTGGTGAAGAGCCAGCAAGGAAAAGGGGGGGGGAAACCCAAACCAGGAAAGCACGAGGCCGTCCGCCCTTTATCCAGGGGGTGACACAGGCAGTGGCCTCACCCCTGGACCAGTATCAGGTGGCCAGACCACGCTTGCTCTGAGGGATCACCCCTACGACTTTCCCGGCCCCAGGCAAGCAGCCCCAGGTGCACTGCACCTCTCGGCCACCAGAGGTCAGAACAGGGGCATCCAGAGTCCCCCTGAGGCACAGCCGTGGACTCGGAGAAGGCCGCTCGGTAAGTGCGTATCAAGAGGCAGTACTTTGCTTCTAATGCCATCTCATCTAATATTTGTAATTCTTTTCAAGTTTACAGATTTTATATGTATAAAGATATATGTAGCACACACATATAATGAAGCAGAGTAATAAGATGAACACCCATAAGAACAAGACCTTTACAAACACCTGCTGCATTTCCTCCAACAGTACACCTGTACTTTCCTCCAGCCCATCCCCCTGCCTCACTCCCGCAGGTGAACAGTATCCTGAACAACTGATACCCACACATTTGTTATCACTCCCTTGTTCTTCTTCAAAGACATTTTTTTAAAGATTTATTTATTTATTTGAGAGAGGAAAAAGCACAGGAGTGGGGAAGCGGGCAGAGGGAGAGAGAGAGAGAGAGAGAATCTCCAGCAGACTCCCCACGCAGGGCTCGATCCTGGGACCCTGACATCACGACCTGAGCCAAAACCAAGAGCCGGATGCTTAACCGACTGAGCCACCCAGGCACCCCAAAGACATTTTTTAAAATGAACACATAACTCACATACCATGAAACTCATTTAAAAGTGTACACTTCAGTGCTTTTTAGTACATGCACAAAACTGTGCAACCACCATCACTAATTCCAGAACACATTCATCACCCCAAAAAGAAACTCCATCCCCATCAGCAGTCACTCCCATTCTGCCCTCCCTGCCCCCTCCCAGGCTCTGACAACCTCTGTCTCTGTGGATTTGCCTCTTCTTACTTTATGTAAGAGAACTGTACAGTTGTACAATATGTGGCTTTGGGTAATCTGGCTTCTTTCACTGAGCACCACGTTTCCCCAGGTTCATCGATGTCAGATGTCAGAACTTCATCCCTTTTTATGGCTGAGTAATAATCCATTGCATGGATATCCCTCCTGCTCTTCTTAGAAATCTATTTAATCATGCACATAATTATAAGATGGTGTTTAGTGGAGCTTTTTTGAGCTTTGTAATTATGACATTATGTTGTTTACAGTCTTCTGGGACTGGCTTTTTTGGTTCATATGATGTTTCTAAGATTCACCCATCATGACATGTGACCACAGCTTATGCATTTCTGAAATTGTGTAGCACCCCATTTTGCAGGTTAATTATGCTGGCCATGCTCCTGTCAGTCAATATCTTTTTTGTTTTTCCCATTTTGTGTGATTGTAAATAATGCAGTTGTGAACATTTCTTCTGCATGCTTCCCAGGGCAAACATGCAAGACACTCTTTTTCAAATTTTTTGCCATCATTTTCATGTGAAATACTTTTTTACGTTGGAACCCACTGCAAATATATATTCACATATGCCAGGAACAACAACATCGCAAAACAATAGTTAACCTTAAAATGGATGATGACCTCTGATATTTTCTAGTTTCCTTTTATTTTTTTTTAAAGATTTTATTTATTTGAAAGAGAGAGAGAGCACAAGTGGGGAGGAGAGGGAGAAGCAGGCTCCCCGCCGAGCAGAGAGCCCGATGCGGGGCTCGATCCCAGGACCCTGAGATCATGACCTGAGCCGAAGGCAATTGCTTAACCGACTGAGCCACCCAGGCGCCCCTATAGTTTCCCTTTTTAAGATAAAAGGGCTAGGCCCATGAATGGGTCACTCTGCAGTAGGAAAATGTATGTTCTAGAGACAGGCCAAGGAGGGAGGTCACTGGGCTGTACAGCATGCAAATCGTCGACCTTACAGAATACTTGCAAACTGTTTTCCAAAGTGGTCTTGCCCGTTTCCACATCCCACCAGCTGTACGACTACCCCTATTACCCTGCATCCATAACAATGCTTGATAGTACCGGACTGCATAATTCCCGCCAATACAGAGGTGCAAAATGCGGTCTTAATTTGATCAGAGTAATGGAGCTGGGCTTCTGGTTATCTGCCATTCCTCTTTCTTCATCAGTGATGCGTCTTTCATGTGTTTGGCTCATTTTCTTCAAGTGGGTTGACATGATTAGTATCATCCATTTATTATTCTGGATATGAAATCTTTGCCATTAAGTACTGCCAATGCCTCTTCCCAATTAGTGGCTTGTCTTTTCACGTTTTGTTGCTGTCTTTCCATGACCAGAATGTCTTAATGCTAATGTAATTGAATGCGATGATTTGTTTGTGTGGGTCCCACGGAAGATATTCTTTGTCCGCCTGAGTCAGAAAGAATTTCCTTCTGGACATTTTACAGCTTTGTCTCTTACACTGAACTCTTCATTCCACCCAGAACTGGTGTTCATGTAAGGCATGAGGTAGGGGTCTAATTTTTACTAGCTGTCCTGGCACTCGGTTGGCAACCCATCTTTCCTTTTCTCCGGACGTGTCCTGCTCCTGCCACTTCTGTCGTATACCTGGTTTCTACTCAGGTGTGTGTCTGTTTCTGCAATTCCTCTTTTGATCTATTGGTCCATTTGTCTGCTCCTGCATCAGAATCCGTGTCTCAACTGGTACAGCCTGATAGCAATCTGCCCATGTGGCAGAAGAAATTCCCCTCTTCATTTTCCTCTTCCCCTCTTCCTTCAGGAATATCCTCCCTATTTTTGGTCTTTTGCTCTTACACAGACATTTTAGAATCGCCTGTCAAATTCATCTAACACTGTTGGGGTTCTCATTGCCTTTGCAAGGGATCTATGGGCAGAACCACCCGGGGAGAAATGGCATTCGTGGAATATTGAGTCTCCTTATCCATAAATACATCTTTTCATTGGTTTGTATCCTTAATGTCTTTTTTTTAATTTTTTTTATTTAAGATTTTATTTATTTATTTATTTGACAGAGAGAGAGACAGCCAGAGAGGGAACACAAGCAGGGGGAGTGGGAGAGGGAGAAGCAGGCTTCCCGCTAAGCAGAGAGCCCGATGTGGGGCTTGATCCCAGGACCCTGGGACCATGACCTGAGCCGAAGGTAGACGCTTAACGCCTGAGCCACCCAGGCACCCCTGTATCCTCAATGTCTTATTATGGTTTTATAAATGCTTTCATATTGGTCTTGCACATCTTCTATTAGATTTATTCCTGGGTGCCTTATGCTTCTTATTGCTATTTTAAATGCTATCTCTTGTGCGTGTTTTCTAATTTTTGTGGGCATAGAGAAAGGCAATTGATTTGTACATATTGATCTTAAATCCAATAATCTCACTAAACTCTCTTATTATTTCTAATAATTTACCTGTAGATTCCTTTGGGTTTTCTCTGCTGACATATCATCTGTAAATGATACAGTACTGTTTCTTCTTTGCTGATGAACCCTGTTGATTTTTATTTCTTACGTCCCGCCAGGCCTTACTGTAAAATGTAGAATAGAAGCAGGAATACTGGAAACACATACACACACACACAGTCTTGTTACTAGTTTTATTTTTTACTTGTATTTCATTTTTGTGTGTGTTTATTTTTAATTTTTCCCAGCTTTACTGTGATGTGACACCTAACAATGTGTTAGGTTTAAGGCGCGATGATTTATTTGATGCATGTTTATGCTGCAAAATATTGCCACAATAAGATTAGTTACCACCTCCACCACTTCACATAATTACCTTTTGTGTGTATGGTGAGGAGTGATAAAGAAAATGTGGCATAAATACAATGAAATATTATTCAGCCATCAAAAGAAGGGAATTATGGATTTTAAATAGACTTCTTCCAATGTTTTATAAGTTCCCCTCTAATCCTGGTTTTCCAAGATGTTTCTGTTTTACATTAATTACAAATGAGTGTTCTACATCTACAGCTTTTAACCTTTAATCTATCAATGAAAGAAATTATGTGCCTGGATAATCTAATGTCAAATCACCCTTGCAC